TGCTACAGCGAGCGGCATTGATTGCCCAGACGTAGCGGGAGCTGGCGTCGATGAAGTTGAGAGTGTAGAATTCATCGTCAATGCTAGAGTGCATGAAAACAAGGAAGTAACTACAAACTTAGTCGAGTCGTTCGCAACGATTGGTTCCGGGTTTGATGAAGGGAAAGGGCTGATGCATAAGGGCCTTGGGGCAGACGATATAGGCGCGTGACTTCTTGCTTGGATTTTGTTCACTTTTGTTAGGGCGAAGGAGAGCTCATGGTGCAAAGATGCTTGCACGCAAGAAGTTGTTAAGGATGGCATATGAGGGGAACTCTAGGCACTGGTGCCAGATATGGTCTGGAGCGCAACGTTTGAGGAAGTGAAGATAGCGCGCGCGTGATGACCGTAGATTATTGCAACCTCTTCGATCAACACACATTCTTCTTCTTCGGATCCGACAGCTATAGACTCTAGTAAACATGGACTGTGAGGAGCTTGATGGGAGGGGTTCCAGTCCCGGGGCATTGGGACGCTTGTGTACTCACGCCAGCGGATAATCTCGAGGGGGACGACCGAGAGGAACGAGTAGACTCCCCCTCTGTTCCTCCTTGTCGACCTCATTTTCAAAAGGTGACTCGGGGCTGAGAATTCACTGGCTCCATCCGCCAATCTGCGGTTCCTCCTCTTCGTCATCACCAGCTTCGAAAAGCTGAGCTCCTCACCCGCCTGAGCGATGATAGGTGCTTGCCTTAGTTGCAGGCTCCCCGTCATCTTTTGGTTCACACCAGTTGGAGTTGAGTAGATGGGTGGCTTGGTCGTTAGGTAAGGCAAGTCCAGCAGTGTCGAAGTAGCCATGGCTGACATAACGCAGATTACGATCGAGATGTTCCCTTGCGTTATTGTCTGAGAGACAAGGGACGAGGGTGATTGCTACACGAAGCTTGTTTTTAGTCATGCACACAGTGTGAGACGCGAGTGCGCACCTTCGTGCTACGAATCTGGGGCTGCATGGTCCAGTATCGATCTCATCAGGCTACCACGGGGAAATTCGAAAGGCGAGCTCGTTGGGATATGCACCTCGGGGTCTCTTACGAATACCATGCGTGGACGATCTTGGACTTGGAAAACTCCAACGTCGTACCTTCCAAGGACATCCTTTTCTACGAAAGACTCTTCTTGACCCAATTCCAGGCAGACCGATTCGCCAATCGCGAAGCAGCATACGAACGAGGAGAGCGCAACTTCGCCTCTCCAAAAGATAAAGCCGCTTCTGCTCGCCTGGACCAGGACCCACCTGATGAACACCTAGGGAAAACCCTCACTTTGATGATGATGACGACGCGGATGACGCCCCTCTCGATCCCCTCCGTGACACTCTACGTCATGACGGAACCATCGGAACCCTTGCGGATTCACAACTCGCCGCCGACTCAGACTACGAAGTGCGAGTGGTTACTGACGACGTGATTGTAACCTCAAGTTATCAGGTCTTCACATCCTCGGACTTCATGCACCAGTCCACAAGAGCCCCTCCGTGATCGAACCTAAAACACCACGACAGGCTCTTACCTGACCCCATCGCGCCGAATGGCGCAAAGCCATGGGCACGGAACTAGTTGCATTTCGCTCCCTAGACACTTGGGTTTAGTTTACCATGCAGCAGTAAAGGGAAGGAAGATCATATCTGACAAATTAGTCTACCGCATCAAAACGGACGCACAATGAAACATCGAGCGCTACAAAGCACGTTTGGTTGTACGAGGCTACAACCAACGTCACGGTGTCGACCTCGATCTCACATTCGTGCCCGTCAGCCGACACACCCACATCCACATTCCAACTCACTGGCTACATTGACACAGACCACGCTGTGGATCCCGCTAATTGCCGTTCCTGCACAGAGTTCCTCTTTCGACTAGAACCTACTGGACACTTATCATAGAACTCACAAAAGCGGGAGCTGATTGCCATATCCATACGTTTGATGACAGAGACACTACAAACTCGTGTCAACACCCATGTGGTGTGCATGATTAGTGCAAGACGGTAGTGGTATAAAAAGGAAACATGTTCAATAAAGAACATCATTCAGCTCTAGCTCCACACTTAACAAGACAGGTTGAACATGCATAAGGCATGATGTTTTCTACGGAGATTTGACTAAAAGGCATAATGTGTGCCCAACCGCTTACCTAAAGGGCTCAACGATAATAAGATCTCAATAAGTGTAAAACCATTGAGTAGTAGTATATACGCGGTTCCAATGTGCACTAGGCAATCCTTCGTTATGTCATCACAGCCTCTTACAACCTTCGCTATTTACTGTAAGAGATAGATTGCTGCATGATGCTGTGCTAGATGCGGGTGATCTGAATGCACTGTCTGTTCCTCCTTGTGCACGTGAACGTGACGTCGCTCATCAGTGCTCCACCACTCCGAAACCAGTACACCTAGCCAGCGGTAATTCCACACCCTGAAACTGGGTGGCAGAAGAATTTTTGTTTCCACACTGACCATTTCTGAGTGCGTAGACTGTACTCCCTTGTTCCTACGGTCTAAGCGCGGCAGACTCTACGCGGGAAAAAACTTTGAACACTGCCTAAGCTGACATCAGGTTTCCTGAGTCGAACCTTTCGCTTAGAAACCCGAGCTAAATATGTTTTTCGAGGGTATCCGGATCTGGTCTGCAAGAGCTATTTTCGGGGGGTGAATACCATCTCGGCGGCACCCCCTATGAAAATACTGGGTCTGAAATTACCGCGGGTCAATTTTACACCTGACGCCCATTGAAATGCTTATTCATTAAATGCTTTTATGTCATATTTACAGGCCCATGGGTCCGAACGCACGGAAATCGGTCCAATCTACATAGACCCAAAGATATCACATCTGATACGGAGACCTCCAAACGTGGAGACGGGACGTTATCAGGCCTTAGGGCGCGGGACATCCAATTCGTGGTCCCGAATAGGTTCTGGCTTCGACGTGGGTACAATTGTTTCGAATGTCGTCAAAAAATATCGTACGTCGTCAAAATCGCTCGCCACATTCGTAGTGAGGATGGAACATGGGGCACGAAAAGCGTCATCCGGACGGGGACTGTGCCACTTTCGAACCATCACCTTGTTCGCATGACTGGCGTCGCATGAAAAAGGTGATGCAAAATTTTGTACCAGGTGTTGGTTGTGCGAAGAATCGTATCTCGAGCTGTCGCGACACCGAACGATGTCGTCATTTTCGCGAAAGAGTGTTCGAATTTCGAATGATGGAATATCGGGTAGATTGGGCGTGTTCACCTAGGTGGTACGGTGGGTGATCCGGACTTTTGGGGGGGTGGTTCAGACTGCCAGAATTTGTGACGTTGTCTGCATTTTGGCATAACGTATTCGACATCCCGCGCCCTTACACCTTTTCCCGAGAAACGGAAGACAAACAACAATGGTCACCCTCTTTAGACTGAAAAATACCAATAAGGTAATCACACTACCCCATATTGGCCCAATTTGCCCGTGAAAATTATGTGTTCGACTTTAGAGTGCTCGTTTGAAAACAAATTAGAATTTAAAAAAATTTATAAGTGTATAGATTGCTGACGTGTGAAGCGGGCATCATGAACTGAAAAGGCCTTGGCGGGTTGGATGGAAGTGTGGCCGCTTGGGCCGCGTAGCAGACTCGAATTGAATGCAGGCGACGCGATTCGAAATTCTCCTAACAGTCAAACCTGTGCCCCTCTGCCGCTTCCCCCGCTCCTCCACTAACGCTTGTCACAACAAACATGTTTGATGGGCGATTACCCGGATTTTGATACTACGGGTCGTTTTCTACCGGAGCTCATTTTTTGACGGATCAGGTTTTCTCTGAACCCGGGGGTTAACGGGTCGATACTAGTTCGAAAACGGGCTGTAAGCGTAGGTTTCGAGGGGTTTTGGCCGGAAAACGGACTTAGACGAGTACGACTGGGGCCGAAAACGGGGGCGTTTTGTAGGGAATCCGGATCTGACGAGGGGCTAAAGATTCAATCTGAAGCCCTCCCACCCACACCACCCCAACCGTAAATGCGCGCGCTTTCTCGCATGTGGCGGTGGCGTGACCGCGGCGGCGGTGGTGGTAGGCTTGCTGCAAAATGAGCCGTGCGGCCTGTGACCCTAGTTGGGTGTCTGGTTTGGTGGCGTGAGGCGGAGGCAGGTGTCTGCCCGAGTGGTCTGCTTTGCCTGGCATGCAACCGACATGTGTCTAGCTGCACACATTCCATAGCGTTTTTAGAGCAATGCGCATTGCTCGCAAGCAGTCGAAGGGGTCCCACTGTACTATAATTGCACACCTCTCGCCTCTTGAGGGCGGGTCCAAATAGTTCATATCAGGGTTTGGGACACGGTTTTACGAACCCGGGTAAATCCATGAAACGACTCCGAATTCGTGAACACCAGAAATTGTGTCCCCGTTCGCAGGTAGCACACAAGCGGGACGCCAATTGTCGAGATGTGAGAAAACCGAACGGCGCGTAACTGCCCAAAACGCAGTTACCAAATGTTTACCTGCGCGAAACATCTGTTTCGCAGCGCGCAAAATACAACAGGCGAGGAATATCACCATGGCCACACGTGAGAGACACAACTCACTCGGTTCGGTTGTGGATGCGGTCTGGCGTCGCACGTGCAGATGCATTCGCGACGTCGCCTAATTTTCGCCACAGCCAGCAGGGCGAAATCCAGGCGCGACACACTTGGAACCCCGTCCTCGAATCTTGCACCTCACGGCTTTACGTTACCAATCCGAAATCTGGTACATGGCCCGACGCATGTGAATGGTGTCCCACGTTACGCTTCAGTTTCTTTCGTGTCCTGACGAAACCTTAAACAAGGTGTTACTTGTTAAAATCGGGTTACTTTTCACGAAATGAATAGAGTGTAAACTATTTGGACCCGCCCTGAGTTTCTCCTGATCGTCTCGGATTCTGCTCATGCCGACATCGCCTAAAGTGTCTCCGTTCAATGTTTCACGCCATTTTCAAGGTAGAGACCCAGAAGCTCAGCTTGCGGAGAGCAGCCTTTCCCTTTTCGCCCTGCCTATCTGAACACTGTAACACAAGATACATGGCACACGGTGCTCCTGCCTAGGATCGTCCCCTCGTCTCGCCTCGCCTCGCCTCGCGCACCAGCCTAATTTCCTCCAATGTACGGTAGTACGCGTGTCTCAGCTCGACCTTGACGCGAGCCCCCTAGCACCACGGCCAAGGAAGCGTTCATGTCTCCTTCCTAGCGTAAGGGTTGCTGGTGTTGAGTCCTCGGCGTCCCGATACAGTTTACCAGCTTGAAGCGTTTTTTTCGTTTCAATCCACCACTGCTTGCGGGCTCGATGCGGTGAACTGAAGTCGGTTAAGGGAGGAGACAGAGAGCCTGACTTGCCCGCCCTCCAATAGGAGCGACAGAGGCAGAGCCAGACTTCTCCCTCCAAATATATACGTTCAGCAGAAACAGTTGTTTTCACATCAGGCAATCGCAGTTACTACTACAATAGCATCGGGCGCAGCACAGTGATCAGATTCAGAGTTCCTGGCCCCCTGCACATTGCAAGAGCTGACGCTAATTCGACGCCTTGATAGAAACCGTTGGGAGTGGCGTTCAAAAGGCCAGCCGTTCGACGAGTAATCCTCACCACGGCATCGTCAGCACAGGTTCTTTTTGCATCGTCCCGTCCTTCTGCATTCTAAAGCCGTCGCTCGACTCGACGCGCAGCACTGTTCCAGTTTCAGTTTCAGATCCAGTTTCAGTTTCTGTTTCGACAGCTCATGGCGTCCTCGAGCCTCACACTGCAGCCCGTGCGTTCCTCCACGGCACGCAACCCACTCCGCGCAGCGGCTTCTGCTTCCCCCGCTGCCCCTGCCGCCGCTCCCCGTCGCACCAGCAGCGTCACCGACCCTCTGCGAGCATCTGTCGCCGACAGGTTCCTGTCGCACGATCTGCACCTTCGATCGCACAGCCAGTCTTCCGAATCTTCTGCCGTCGTACGGTTCCCCTCCGCCGTTTCTGCTCCCGCCGCCGGCGAGCAGCGCGTTGGTGACTTCCCCCGCTATGCGCACACCCGTTATGATTGCGTGGCGCTGCCGCGAGCCGCCAGCGACTCGACGCTTTCCAGTATCTACTCGCGTGCACCTGCTGCTGCCACTTCCTCCGGAGGTGATGCTCCCGCGGCGGCTGAGGCGAGCTACGCGCTCTCAGAGCCGCTCTGGGAATGGGAGGAAGCGACTTCCTCAGGCGACGCTGGCGATGATAAGGAGGAGTCGCACGGCGACGACGGCGACGACGACCTGCCTGGGATCTCGGGGCGCGTGTACTGCGACGTGCTGGCGGGCGGAGGCGCTTCGCCGTCCGGCGAGCGACGGGAGACGGCGGATGATGTGACGGAGTGGCAGCAGCTGACGCAGGCCGTGCTGCTGGTGAGCGCCGGGGGCCATGCCGTTTCCAGTAGTTGTGTGACGGGTTGTGGCGTGGCGTCATGGATTCTGGATTCTAATTGCGCGATGCATTGTGACGGTTTTATTAGGCGATTTCTTCGTCATCTACTTGTCGCTAACGCTTGTGCCCCCCTGCTTCCCCCATTCCTCTTCCCGACAGTGCCTGTCCGGTGCAACGGCAGCAGAGAGCCGGCTGGAGGAGAGCGTCAACGACGTGCTGCGAGCCCTCGCACTCGCGCAGTCGCAACCAGAGTCTCAGGGCGTCGCACAGCCGCAGAGGGGAGAGATAGAACGGGTGCAGACACAGCAAGCTGTGGGTACAGCAGTAGAGGGAGAGGCTGAGAGCAACAGCAGCTGCAGTAGCAGCGGCACGGCGGCGGGTTGCCCGGGGTGCGCCAAGGCGGCGGAGAGGGTGGCGCTGGCGGCTTTCCTTGCTGCCATGGGGCATGACGTCATCCTCTGCAAATCCATGTGGACGGCCAACCAGGACATGCCACCTGGCCACCACCACTTTTTGGAAGTTTCACTCGCGAATTCAGATAGCAGTAACAGCATTGGAACCTCCATCCCAGAAGCAGACAGCCGTGCTCCGCCAACCTTCAGAAGCAGCAGCGATAGTCGCAGCAGCAGCCGCAGCAATGGCGCTACCGCCAGCGCCGTCCCCTCCCCCTGCGGCCGCGCGGCGGCGGTGGTGGACGTGTCGTTCCAGCAGCAGTTCCACGTGGCGCGTCCCTCGCGGCGCTACCAGCAGCTGCTGGCGCTGCTGCCGCGCGTGTTCGTGGGGTCGTCCGCGCGCCTGCGCGCCCTCGTGCGCCTCATGGCGGCAGCGGCGCAGCAGTCGCTGCTCGCCGTCGCGCTGCCCATTGCGCCCTGGCGTAAGGCGCGCTACATGGCCAAGCTCTGGTTCCCGCAAGGGGGGGGTGCCACCGCCGCCGCCGCTGCTGCTGCTCCTACTCGGATCGTCAGTGGTGGCAGTGGTTCTGATGGGGTTGCGGCGGGTGGTGGCGGGGTGGAGGGCAGTGTGCGTTACGGCGTGGTGCGCAGGCGAGTGGTGTGGGGGGCTGTGGTGAGTGGCGCAGCAGGTGCTTCTGAAGTGGGCGTGGCTAGCCTGCTGAGACAGCTGCCGCTGTGCTGCAAACACGCAGAGAGGAGCAACAGCGCTGCACCATCATCATCAACATCAGCATCAGCATCAGCATCAGCCTCCTCGTTGCTGGACCCGCGGGTGCAGCTGATGGCGCACCGGCTGCTGGGTGCCGATGCTGCTGCAGTGGGCAGTGCAGCCATCACCACCGCACTGCACCGCATCCGACTTATGATGGATCAACTCAGCCACACAGCCTCCACTACTGTCACACCCACCACAAGCACATCCCGCTCTGTGCATGCCTCATCTGCATCTTCTGCTGCTGCCACCACCACCACCGCACCCCCCTCACCCTTTGCCCCATCGGCCCCTGGAGCATGGAGCCCTCCTGCTGTGTCGCCCGGGCAGCGCCCTGCCACGCGAGAGGGGTCGCTCACTCTGCTGCTGCGATCTCAGGAGAGGCAGAGGAGGGAGCAGAAAGAAGCCCCCATGGCATTCCACATGGCCGCTGCCTTGTGATGTTGACCTTCTCAGATGGCTGTTGCTGATTGATTCTGCTTCACCAGTACTTGGCTCCTCTGGTAGCTGCGCATTGCGCTAGCTGCCAGAAAGCCAACCGACAAAACAATTTTTTTGTGCCCTACACTATGGAATGTGGATATTGTATATACAGTACCGTACATGTCACTATACAAATGTTAGTTTACTTGCAAGCAATTTTGCTTACATGGCTTTAGGCTGCAGCAGATTCACAAAGCAGATAACTTGGCACTTCTGACTTTGATGACAGCTGAGTACCGTACTTCTCATGGGTACCAGTGAAAGCAACAAAAACCAGTCAAGATTGCATGATAGTAAATGTTCTACATGCCAAGTCATGACTGTCAAAACTCAGCCACTAACCACTGAGTCAAAAGGGCTTGTTAATAACGGTTTAATGCGCCCATAGCCCCACAAGCTCTGCACCTGTGGCTGTGGCCCTTCCCCGAGGATCTTCTCAAAGGTAATCCCAGCGGTTCTCTCGACACCCCCCCTCGCTGGGATAGGTGGAGGACACGAGCGCCTCTGCAGCGCTAGCACTGAGAATTGAACCCGGGTCACCAACGCTCTGATACCATGTCAGAACTCAGCCACTAACAATTGAGTTAAAAGGGCTTGTTAATAGCAGGTCTGTACGCCCATAGCCCCCTAGGCTCTGCACCTGTGGCCCTTCCCCGATGATCTTCTCAAGGGTAACCCCAGCGGATCTCTCGACAATGACCAAGCGGATGCGCCACGACACCAGCCCCAAGCATGCTTAGCAACAACCACCCAGCCACCCACCTTGGCCTGGCCTTCTCCCTGGGTCATTCACTCGTCACCCCACAAGCCCAGCAAGCCCTTGGGCAGCAGCAGGGAGAGCAGGAAGCGCAGCCCCCTGAGAAGATACGCTTGTGCCTCCCCAACTAGCAGGCAGGGCAGATGGGCGCTGGTGGGGGGTTGGGGGGGCACGGGTGGATGGGCACTGCTAAGTGGAGAAAAAGGGGCTGACCGGCGCATGAATGGAATATGACAAGGGATTTTGGGAACGGAGGGATTGCGGGAAAAGCACATATCGGGGGGATGGGGACACCGAAAGGGATGGGGGGTGGCCGATCTTTCGACTTAGAGATTCTGATCAGAAATAAGTGACTGCAAGCGAAGCGGGAGAAGAGTCACAAGTAAGAGGGAGGGTGCGAGGGTGCGCGATATAGGGGGAGGGGGTAAGGGAGAGTGCGCAGGGGATGTGTTGGTAAGAGGGGTCGCACTTGTAGAGGTCTCCAATGAGCGGCAGGTGGGAGATGACTGGGTTGCGCTGGAAGAAGTCTCGCTGAAACTTCACCCGCTTCAGAGTCCTCCATGCGGGCAACGCTGCCACTGCTGTCGCTCCTACTGCCCCATGACATCCCCCTACCTGGATCCCCTCCTTAGAAGCCTGGCTCCTCCAGTCATCCTCCGGTATCACAGCATCAGAAGGAGCAATAGCGGCAGGAGTAGCAGGAGCAGCAGGCGTGGCTGGAATTTGAGCAGCGGGGCCTTCCTTGGTGGGCAGGGAGGTAGAAGGAGGCACAAGGCCGTGCAGGGGATAGTCCTCCTGGGAGATATGGGGAGGGAAGTGGGAAGAGGGAGGAGGGAGGGGGGATAAACAAGGGGAGATGGGGTTGCGTACAGGACATGGGAGAAGAGGTACGCAGATGATGGAATGGGAGGCGTGAATAACGGTGAGGAAATGAAAACCAGACACAATCGAAATGGGAGTTCAGCTTCAAAAGCTCACATGAAGGGGCTCACATGGAGGGTATCACATGGAGAGGCGGTGAGGCCCATGCCAGTGGCATGTCCTCCAGTTTCAACAGAGAGACAGGCTAAAACCTCTTACCAGAGGAATGTCCTCTAGTTCCAGCAGTACGCAGAGGTCGAAGTGCGCGAGCGCGCCGAGCTTGAAGAGCGGGCGCGAGAAGACGGTGGCGTACAGCACTAGAACGTCCTCAGTCGGATCTTAGAGCACCCTGTGGATGCGCACGCCCTGGTACTGTAGCACCACGTGGGCCATCTGGTTGGGGGGGGGGGGGGGGGGAGAGAGGAGGGGCGGGGAGTGGGGGCAGAGTGGAGGGGCGGAGGGAGGGGCACAAGGGGGTGGTAGATGGAGGGGGCATGAACGGAGTGAGTGTGGGAGCCTGTGGTGAATGACCAGGATGCCAGCTGGGATGACACCCGCCAGCCCACCTGGTAGCTGTTCGATGCAGGTGGGGTGATTAAAACCTACTGCACCTCCTTCTAACTGCCCACCCCAGCCCGCCTGGTACCTGGTAGATGGCGGTAAGATCAGTCCCCCGCCCACTTGGTAGAGGGCGGTGGACTCGGGTCCCACCCCACCTGGCAGACAGAGATGAGGTCAGCAGCACTGGGTAGATGGCGGCGCGCGAGCCGGCAATCGAATCATGATCATGGGCGCCATGGCCCATGACCATCCCAGCCCACCTGGTAGATGGCGGTGAGGTCCGCTGCGCCTGAGGCCACATCGACGAGGAAGTGTGTGAATCGCACACGCGAGGAGATGCACCGCCGGATCACCTCCGCCTGCCGCCTCAGCGTGGGCCGTGTCACCAGCGCGCTAATCACCCGCGCCGCATCGTGCCTCGGGTCCTCCATCCCCCCGCGCTCCCACGCTCCCTTTCCCCTCGTCCCTCAGCGCCTTCATAGGGCTGCTTGCTAACTAGCTCGATTCCGCAGCTGCGCAATACCTCCCGCCACTATGAAGTGGCCCTCCTTGGTTCCTCCTCGCCCCCTATCCCCTTGTTCCTCAGCGCCTTCAGAGGGTTGGCTGCCACACGCCGCACTCCCCTGAGTTGCTAATCGCGTTGCAGGTGAGCTTCGAGACTTCTCAAGCCTCCCCCGACTGCCGATCCCACCTCCCTTCCCTCTACTCTCACCGTTGCGCAATCCCGCGTGTCCTCGCCTCTCGTGCGCCCTGCTCGCCGTCGCTGCCCAACCCCTCCCGCCTCCCTCGTCAGGCCCGGGGGACTCCCTCGGAGGATCCTCCTGAGGCCGAAACTACGCCCTGATGGCCCTCCAGTTTTGAGGCGCCTCAGAAGCCGAGACTACGTCCTGAGGGCCCTCTATAAGCCGCAGGGCACTATGATGACGACGCGACGACGAGGCGGGACACGGGAGACGGCGGCGAATAGATATCGCAGTTGAAAAAAAACGGCCAGACGAAGGGAGATTTGACTCCGAAGAGCAGGACCTGTTTCCCAGCACATGACAAACCCTTCATCGCAGATATCGGCTGGTTACCACCCGTTTCCCAAAGCTGAACGTAACTCCAGAGAGCTCTCGGCGTCGCCCCAATGAGACACGTCTCCTCCCATATTCCTCCATCGTCCTTCGCCGTGTGAGGGGGCAACGGCTTCGTCGGCAGCGGGCAACGGCCGGGCGGGCGACAGCGCGTTGGGGTGGAACGACGATGCCTGAACGCATGCCTCTCGCCAGCCGTAACTGCTTCGCCCCTCGGGATCTCCCCGCAACTGCTGCCACATCCGTCGTCGCGTATCGCGGCATATCGCCACGTATCGTCGCATGTCGCCTTGTTACCCCTGCTCTTGGTCCCTTCATACTTGCATCTCAACCTCGGGTCGCCTCGCTCGCTGCGCCATGCCCGACGATGTGCACCTCTTCGCTGAAATCGCTCCCCCATGCTCTCGGGCTGATCATTCCGCCAGCTAGGATTATTGCGGGAGCATGTCTAAGGGAGTGTATGAAGTGAAGACGAGAATGACATCCCGGGACGTCAGCGACGGCTTAGTGTGGTTACCCCATGTAACAGTAACTGTAGACGCAATGTCAGTGTTCAGCGGAAAATACGACGCATCCGAGCTGACTTCCTAGCTCATTTAGCGCTGCCCAAAACAATGCCCGTGGGCAGGGGTCGAAAAAAACAAAACCAGCCATGTAGCGAAAGAACGAGCCAGCCCTCGAGAGAGGGATTTTCGCCAGCAGTGTTGTACGAAAATGAATATGATGAGAAATCCTTCGCTTGTTTCGCACGTTACAACATTTTTTTTGGCAAACATTTTTGGTCACATCGCGTTTCGGTTTTAGCACCCTCAAAAACTTTTCCAGCATGTTTCGCATTTCGTCATTGTTCAATGTGCTTGTGTAGCCCTCGGAATAAGCACAATGGGCGTCGCGCAGACGTCACCGAGTGACGTCAAAATAGCTTATCAGGCATTGCCCGTTTACTTCGTACACGCCCTAATTTCTTTGTGATTCCCATGACGGTATCACCTGCCCGCTCAGAATACGGCAATACGCTCAGGCAGCAGTACTCTAAGCTCCGACAATACGTACAGTCTGTCTCTGTATAGTACAATGATTTCCCAAAAAAAAAAACAACAACAAAACAAGGGACAGCGCAATCATCTTAGGGTTGCGGAACCTTTATATATATTTGTTGATTTTATATGCTTAAGCGAATTATCAATATTAGATGTGAAAGTATCTGTTTATATCTTATTATGATTTTATATATTCTATGTGAAATAGTGAACCGATGGTGTATCTCATCAGTGCATTAACAAAAGTATATACAGTTTCACTGCATTTAATACAGATAGAAATAGTTACATAGTTGGCTTTCATGTACATATGTGTTTACTTTATTTAGGTGCGCTTTAAGTTATACCTTGAGAATCAGATTTTGCGTCACTGTTTCAAAATCGTGCAACGTTGTTTGAATTGGTTCTTACTGTTCTTCGTTTTTGCTTGTACAGTGTCTGAAACGTTTTGTCCCTTATTGTTCCACTATAACCCAATTATAGGAATGTACCTTCTGTTTTTTGTGCGGTTTTTTTTTTTTTTTTTTTTTTTTTTGCCTTTCTGCCAAATGCCCTGCTGCTGAGAGTTTTCGTTGTGATTTTGTTTGGTTATGTGGTAATTGTTCCCACTGTAGGCCACCCTTCGTAATCAGCGTAAAAAAAAAAAAACCCCTGACAGAAAGGGTTAAAAATAGCGTACCCTGACAAAATAAGGGTATTTTGGGAAAACAAAGTCAATACACTGATGGTGTCTGGGTGTTTTCTTTTATACCCTGATTTTCCTTGTCAACATTTTCTTTGGGAGGGAGCATCGAGAGAGATAGGCAGGGAACAACGACAGCGAGAGAAATCAGGGCAGGGAGCAGCGAAAATGAGGCAACAAGTGCTGTTAGGTGGCATGGTTTTCAAGCTAGTAGTACCTCCCTTAGAGCGTGTTCCTACAGACCTCTTCTCAAGGAACCTCCTCCCAGACTCGGGCGCTACAGTGTCGCGAATTTGGACGCGAAATTGTTCAGTACGGTTCCGCGTGGTGCGACGCGAGATTGGACATACTAATATTGAATGCGTCTTTCTAAACCTCTTCTCAGGCGAACCTTATTTCAGAGTAGCGCGAATCTGGTAGAAAGCGGTGGAACACAAATCTAGAACGGATTCACTCTGAAACATGCTCTCAGATGACGGGAAGAAGTTGCCTAGGAAGAGGCTCGTAAGAGCCAATGCAACTGGGCTGGTCTTGTAATCAGCTTCCCGCACACGTCAAATCGGCTTTTTGGCACGTGCTGCTCAAGCATGCTGCTCAAGCATGCTTGCTCGCTCGACCACAACTTTGTGCTGACAGTGTGTAGGAGAATGGGGCAGAATGTATTTGTAGGTACACGGAGGACTTAGCCGAATTTTATGGGCTTGGGTAAGGGGGGTGGGGTGACTTAGAGGTGTAGGAGGAATGTCTTTGGATGTGAGGACTTAGGGCATGTTTCTAGTAGGTGTCATCCCGAGAGAGTGTCATCCGAGAATGTTGGAAACCCATCGCAATCGTTGAAGTTTTGAAATAACGGTTGTCATGGGTTTCCAACATTCTCGGATGACACTTTCTCGGGATGACACCTACTAAAAACATGCCCTTAGCCAAATTTCGGAGATCTCGTGATTTGCGAGATGCGTAGGAGGAATGCCCATGACTGAGGAGGACTTAGCCAAAATCTGGGCTGTGGGCTAAGGGATTTCCTGGGACAACAGTTTCAGAGTCGGTGGGCGGGGCTCCCTGGATGATTCCCAGCTCGGAATATTCGACAATTGTAGAATTATAATGGGTTGTACTCTGTATAAGCAAGCACCTAGCTAGCCTATAACATATAAATTATATGTTGACACACCCCCTAGACTAGACAAGGGGCAGCAACGAGCAAGAGGCACACAGCTCAGGGTGGCACTACTAGTCCAACCTCTGAGGCAAGGGCCCAAAGACCAGTCAGCAAGCGTACAAACTGCATAAGTGTAAACCAGGGCGGCACTACTAGTCCAGCCACTGGAACAAGAGCCACAAGGCCAGTCAGGATAATATAATTAGTAGTACACAGTCAGGGTCCTAGCAAGTCTGTGAGCAAGAAAGGAAGCCAGCGGAGCTCCTATGCCGCCATGGCACCAGCGTAAATCTCGCCCTCGCAACTCGACTGAGCAACAAACGATCAGTGGGTGGACCTCCACGAGATGGCACCTGCACCAAGGCTAAAGTAGTAGCCTTGGGAGAACCTGAGCGTGTCAGCGTCGTCCGCCCACGAAGCGTCAGTGTGCCCTGTAAGGACCACTGGCCTGCGTCCTCCTGGCACTAGCCCAATGCCAGATTTACCTGCTAGATAACGCAAAACCCTCTTAGCGTCTGACCAGTGCTACGTCAGTGTCTGCCTGGCATCACAAAGCGAGCCAGGATGCTGAGAAGGTATGCGAGATCTGGAAGAGTGCAAGTCATCAGGTACATGAGGCAACCCACCAGCTCTGCGTAAGGACCACTAGGCTCAACAGACTCCTCAGGGACTGGAGTCGAGAGCTTGTGATCTATCCGGAGATCCAGTGGCTCCTCCGGCGCAGCTCTGAGCTGACACACCTGCACTGACCTAGGAGAGCTGCGCCGAAGGAGCCACTGGGTCTCTGGAGTGAAGGTGTTGGTAAAGCCTGGCGGACGGCGGAGGTAGACCTGCTCGTGCAAAATGCCCTGAAGAAAAGCTGTTCAGAAGTTGAGAGAGTGCAGCTCATAGTCACGCTGTGCTGCTACGTGTAGCAGCGCCCGAAGACTAGTCATGTTCGGGGTCCGGGCAAAGGCCTCGAAGAAGTCCACACCCTCGCTGTGACTGAAGCCTCTAGCCACGTAGCGTGCCTTGAACGCAGGCTGCTCTCCAAGAGGGCGCTTCACCTTGAAGAGCCACCGGCCATCAACTACGTTCACCCAAGGTGGGGGAACTACGTCGACGGAGGTGCCAGTGGATCTCCAAGATGCCATCTCTACGTCCATGACAGCTATCCACTGAGAGGCCCAGGCAGCGACAAGCATGGAAAGACGAGAGACAGGAACAGACGGGACGGTAACGAGGGAGGCAAACACCCAAGGAACAAGAGGACTAGTGGCACGAAGGTAGTCAAACAGTGGAGGCGGAGCGGCAACAAGCGATGATAGAAGAGGCAACAGGAGGAGGGGAGGGCGAAACGCGTGGGAATGAAGCAACATAGGGTGAGAGCGCTGAACAGGAGAGACATGACGAGTATGAGAGGGACGACGAGACCATACGGGGGACGGAGGTGACGGGCCAGGAGACACAGGAGGAGACACAGGAGGAGAACTAGGGGGAAAACGAGCCGGAGAGGAGTCTGGCGGAGGAAAGACAGGGCCGTATATAGGCAAGGGAGGCGGTGGCAGGGGAGGCGGCGGCAGGGGAGGCGCAGGCGGGCGGTCAAGGGAGGAAAGGTTGAGTAGGCAAAGGGCTAAGATCGGCGGCGACTGCTGTTACTACTGCTGCTCCACGCCAACACCAGAACCTCCAGCTGCACCACAGCTACCTCTGGAATGCTCCACTCCAGCACCCCCAGATAGAGAGCCCGCTCCAGCACCAGTGCCACCCCCGAAACCGCCGGGACAAGCCACGACAGTAACCCTAGGACCAGAACCCCCAGAACCAGCACCCCTAGAGCCCACGGACGGCTGCTGTTGCTGCTGCGGCGGCTGCGGCTGCGGCTGCTACTGCGGCGACGACGGCCGAAGAGGAGAAGACACCAGGGCAAAATAGGCAGCGAGAACTGCGCCGCGGGGCCACCGGAGTCAGCCGGCTCCTCGACCGAGACAACTGATGAGAGGGGAGTGATGTGAGACACACCAGATGGGGCAAGACGGGGAGGAAGAGGAGCAAGGGCTACCGGGGGAGTGGGAATCAGAAACAGGGGCGGGAAAAGAGACCTCAATGGGGAAAGGGGTGGTAGAAGGAGACATACTCGTTGAAAGTGACGTCACGCGAGTGAAGGAAGCGGTGAGACAGCGGGTGGTAAAAGTGCCAGCCGGACGAGTCGAGGGGGAAACCAAGGAAGACACAGGGGACAGTGCGGGCAGTGAGCTTGTCCGTGCTAGAGGCATGAACGTGAGTGAGGAATCCCTAGACGTGGAACGCAGACGCGTCACCAGGGGACCCGGTCCAGAGGAGGGTCGGCGAAACCTGCGGCCGCTGGGAGTGTGACCATAGGTTAAGCTGGTGAGCGGCGTAGCGAACAATGAATGACCACAGAAAAGGAGTGCACCTGCGTGGAAAATGGAGGTACGAGCCTCCTCCATGACCTAGCCGATGCGTCGCTCAATGACACCATTTTGAAGTGGGGAGTCCGGCAGGGTGTACGACTGGGTGATGCCCTTCG